ACCCGCATGATTATTCCGTCGGCAAGCCGACCAAAATAACCTGCTATCAGACCCAGGGTTACACCCAGAAGCAGCGCGCCGGTAACCAGGGTCGTGACGGTGATGATGACCGTAGTACGCAGGGAATACATGACCCGACTGAGCAAGTCCCTTCCCAGCCGGTCGGTTCCCAGGGGATGCAACAGGCTTGGCCGTTCCTTAACCGAGGAAAGGTCTTGTTCGTTGTAGCCGTGGGGAGCTACCAGAGGGGCAAACACGCCCGATCCATACATGATGACAATGACTACCAGGCAGGTCATAGCCAACTTCTTGCGGGTAAGTCGGCGCAAGGACAGGTAGAAATACCCGTGTGACCTCTGTTCGGCATCGCGAAGCTGGAGGCTTTGGGTTTCATCCCGCAACGAAGTCACCTCCCAGCCGGATTCTCGGGTCCAGGATTGGGTATATCAGGTCAACTATCAGGTTGGCGAACACGAAAAGGGTGGTGCCAAGCAGGGTCACCGCCATAATTATCGGGTAGTCCCGCGAGAACAGCGACTCAATAGTCAACAGTCCCACACCGGGGATTCCGAAATAAAGCTCCACTATGAACGAACCGCTGGCCAGCCCGGCCAGGGAGAAGCCCAGGGTAGTAACGACCGGGACCAGGGAGTTGCGCAAGATATGTCTAGTTCGCACCAACCGCTCCGGCATACCCTTGGCTCGGGCAGTACGGACGTAGTCCTGGCCAATCACGTCAAGCGTGCTGGCTCTGGTTAACCGGGTGACTATGGCCACGCCAGGAATACCGAGCACAAGCGCGGGCATGATGATACTCGTGGAGAAAAACCCGTCCCATCCATGAGACGGCAAAATTCCCAGTTTCAGTGAAAAGAGCAGGAGGGCCAGGGGTATGGTCAGGAAGACGTGCATGGATTGACCTACCAGGGTGAAAGCTACCGTTGCGCTGTCCCACCAACTGCCCTGACGGAGCGCCGCGAAGAGCCCGAGGGAAATGCCCAGGCTGACCGAGATCACCAGGGCAGCAAAGTTAAGCTGGGCCGATATCCAGACCTTGTTTTTCAAGAGATCGGTTACGCTGCGACCCCGATACTGGTAACTTTCCCCAAAGTCGCCGCGCAGGGCGTTTCCCACGAACCTTGCATACTGGACCGGTATAGGGTCGTCGAGTCCCTGTTGCTGCCGGATCCTCTCGTAGGCTTCCTGCCGGAAGTTCTGGCCCAGCAGTATCTCCACCGGATCCTCTGGGCCAAAGCGGCCCAGGGCAAAGGTGATGAAGGTTACCAGGACCAGAAGGACCGGCACCCAGAGCAACCGGCGGGCAATGTACGTTGCCACAGGTAATTCCTCGCTGCCAGCTTACTGTTGGGCTAAGTGTATGTAACGGAACTTGGGAATAGTCATGGGGAGCAGGTAGTAGTCCATGACGTGAGGCTTGATGAGAAAATACCAGTCCTCGTCGTTCCAGAGCAGCACCCAGGGAGCATCTTCGAGGATCATTTCCTCCACCTGGTTGTATAGCTCAAACCGACGGGCAGGGTCCTGTTCAACCCGGGCCTTTTCCAGTATGGCGTCAACCTCAGGGTTAGAGTAATTGGTCCGGTTTCCTTCGCTGCGGCTATGGAACAGCAGGTCCAGGAAGTTCTCCGGATCGGGGTAGTCAGCGCCCCAGGCCAGAGAGAACATCTGATATCTCTCGTCGTTTACGTCTTGTAGGAAAGTGGCCCATTCCGTCTGCTGAATCTCTACCTGAAGACCCAGTTCCTGTTCCCACGCTTGCAGGATTACTTCCAGACCCAAGGGAACTGCCGCTCCCAGGCTACCGGAAATACTCAGAATCAGGCGGGGAACACTGTCCGGATCGGCACCGTAACTGGACTCGGCCAGCAGGCGGCGGGCTTCTTCTGGATCATAAGGGTACGGATCAAGATTGGGGTTAAACGACGGGAACCGCGGCGGAATTATGGTCTTGGCCGGCCGTACGGCACCCTCGTATACCACGGAAGCGATTTGGTCCCGATCAAAGGCCAGGTTAAGCGCCTTGCGGAATTTCGGGTCTTCCAGCGGAGCCTGGTCGACATTAAGGCCAATGTAGCTGGTAGTGAACCTGGCCGGATACGGGCGGACCAGTGGATTGAGCGGGCTGGAGGGGTCCAGTATCCGTTCCAGGTCGGCCAACCCGACGCCCGTAACGTCGATTTCGTCGTTTTCAAACAAAATCATGCTGGAGCCGCCGCTGAGAATCATCTCGACTTCATCGAGGTGAGGTGGACCCAAGTGATAATGTTCATTCCGGCCCAGCCGGATAATTTCGCCTATCTGATACTCATCCAGACGGAAGGGGCCGGTCCCATTGGGTGTCTCGAACCAGCTATCGCCCAACGCGACGTTGTCGGCGTCCAGGACAAAACCGCTGGGGTAAGTAAGTTTGGCCAGGAAATAGGCCTTGGCGGCGTCAATAGTAAACCGGACGGTATTCTGGTCCACCACCTGAACGCCGGAAACCTCAGGAGAAGCGCCGTCCAGTCTTGAATTCACACCAACGATATCATCCAGGTATTGGTGCGCCACCGGCGAGGCAAGCTCAGGGTCGGTAACGCGGTCTATAGACCACTTGACGTCGTGGGAGGTAACAGGTGACCCATCGTGGAACTTGGCATTGGGGTGGATTCGGAATGTATAAGTGGTGCCATCTTCACTGATTTCCCAGCTTTCCGCCAGGTCGGGGGCCACAGCAAAGTTAAAGGGTTCTATATTCACCAACCCGCCAAATATCTCATTGACCAGCAGGCCGGAGATGTTGTCCTCGGCCAGATGAGGGTCGAAAGTTGGAGGGTCCGCAAACAACAGAGTCAGTTTCCCGCCGTCGGTGGCCATGCCGTCGCCGCTGTTGGCCGGTCGAGTCCCTCCGACGTTGAAGACCTGACTCTCTGCTCCGACGGGGGCTTGAAGTACCGGCGCGGTTGGTGCCGGTTCCGGATTTGAGGCTTCAGGTACACTCTGCGGTGTCGCAGTGGGTTGGCTCATACTTTGTACCGGTTCTGGGCTCATCGTGGCTTCGGGTTCTTGGCCCGTGGTGGTAACACTGGCGACCGGCGCGGGGGCTTCAGTGGGCTCCTCGGAATCACCAGGAAAGCAGCCCACCAGGAAAAGTCCCAGTGTCGCCAGAATCATTAGAGTTGTCCAACGCATATTTACCTTCCAGATCAGTTTCATTGTCCCAGTGTGCAAAGGTATCGGTTGCCAGTTAGAAAATTACATTCACTCAAGTAAATCTCAATGGTTGCACCTCCGGCATTATATTAGGAACTTACCTTGCAAAGCAATAAAAGGTACTAAGAATCAATATGAAAAGGCGCAAGGGACGCAGTGTTTAGGCAGGGCCCCACTGGTAAAAGACCGGTCCCTAATCTTGAAAGCCTGCTACCTTTTTGCTACCATAGCTTGTGCCTGAAATTCGGCGGTGAAGATCACCCAGGAAATGCAGGTTGTTCCGAATGGCGAGCGTAGCCAAGAGGCCTAAGGCGCCTGTCTGTGGCACAGGAGATCACGGGTTCGAATCCCGTCGCTCGCCCCAAGCTTACATTTTACCTTTCCGGTTCCCCATTGGCGCCTGTAGCTCAATGGATAGAGCACTGGGCTTCGGACCCAGGGGTTGCGGGTTCGAGTCCTGCCAGGCGCGCCATCACCCTCTCGGTACCTCTTCGCAATTGGACTCGGTGGGAATCCCCTTTTACCGTCTGATTCCTTCATCTCCGCATAGCCGTAGCAAGTATGGATTCTTTGCATTTCTATACGTGGTAAACCGTATGGCGGATGTAACATTACGCGAAAACCAACGAAGGGTAGAAGGGAACGGAATGAGCGGAATGAACGAAGCGAATAGAGCCATCTGGCTGTTGGGCCACCGTCTCAGCATGCTGGGTCTGGTGGATGAGGCATGACAACTCAGGGAGATTGCAGGTCAGGCTGGCCTGCCCGATGGTGCTGTGGCGGCGGCAGTGGATGCAGTAGTTCGCGGTGCTATCGCAGCAGCGGAAGCGGCCGGCAGGACTGAGGTGTGTCTGGCAATAGAAGAGGCGTTAGATGCCCATCGGCCAGGGCATCTTTTCCACTTCGAGGAAGTTCCGTGCGTCGGCGAGTAACAACTTCTGGCGAGGTTTCGAGGCGCAGGCTATTGTCCGTGGCACCGCTTGAACTTCTTGTTGCTGCCGCAGGGGCACTTCTCGTTACGGCCTATCTTGCGACCTTCATGCCGCGCAATTGTCCGTTTCTCTTCACAATTGTTGCAGGTACAAGCCGGCGGATGCTCGGTGAACCAGTTAGCTCTGACCATTATTTATCCTCGATACATCCTTTACGATGCTTAGGAATCGTTTCCAGTCGACGGGTTACTTCAGATCAAGCAACTCTACATCAAATATCAGGGTAGAGCCCGCAGGAATCAGGCCGCCCCCAATGCTGCGGTCGCCATAGGCCAGGTCTGGCGGGATAGTCAGCTTCCACTTGTCGCCAATTTTCATCAGGGCGACCGCTTCGTCCCAGCCCTTGATAACGTTGCCCTGACCAATGGCGAACTCGAAGGGTTCTCCGCGATCCACCGAACTGTCAAATTTGGTACCGTCCACGAGCCAACCGGTGTAATGGACGACGGCGGTGTGTTCCAGTGATGCGGCTCTCCCATCTCCCGACGCCAGCACTTCATACTGAAGGCCCGATGGGGTAGTTATTGCCGCATTGGACTCAGTGGGAGCAGTTTCAGTGGGAGTAGTTATTGTTGCATCGGGCTTAGAGCAGGCAATCATCGCAAGGACCAGCAATGCTATGGCCATCCAAAACTTCATGGGTCTCTCCTGGTCAGATTTACTACTTCAGCTCCGGAAGCGCAAATCAAGTCATTTGGCGAAATTATGATCTCTTGTCCCCATACTCCTGCTCCAACACCCAATTCATCATATTCGGTCAAAGCAGTGTCCAAGAGCGAACGAAACCCCGTCGGCTGCCAGTGAAATGGTGGTATTGAACCGACAGCATAGCCGGTGACTTCAAGTACCTTGTTAGGGTCGGCAAGGCTGATATTTCTGGAGCCCAGGGCCCGCTTCAAGTGGCCGGAGACGGTATGGCGGTCGCCACCCAGCATGACCAGGGCCAATTCCCCTTCACTGGTTCGAAATATCAGGGTCTTGACCATTTGCCCTTCCTCGAAACCGAGTGCCCGGGCCACATTGGCGGCCCCTCTATCGGTTTCTGAGGAAAACTCAAGCCTCCGGTATGGGATCCCCTTGAGGTCCAGATAAGTGTGTGCTGGCAAGTCCATAGGCTGGTTCCCGGCCCGTCTCCCACTCTTTGCGGTTGCGCCGCTGACTTGCTCCTCGCTAACTAAAGGGAAGCACGAAAGAGCAGTACATTAGCTGGAAGTAGATTAGGCCAAATGTGGCTATGGGTCAATGGAAGTACTGAAGACTTGGGCGCCGGCTGTTTGAAGCCTTGGGGAATCCTCAATAGGAAAAGGGGCGGTTAATTTCACCGCCCCTCTAATCTTGGCACGTCAGCCGGCGTCAGTTTTCCGGCGCAGGGTTTGAAAGATCAGGGCGAGTGCCGAGCGTAACCGTAATCTGCTGCTGTTCGCCATCCCGTATGATGTCCATCGTAACCGTCTGGTCGGGTTCAGTCTTCCCTACCAGGAAGGCTATCACGTCGTCGATAGTTTCAACCGGAGCGCCGTCTATAGCTACTATTACATCGCCTCCCACGGGTAATTCCAGCCCCTCCATTTCGAAAATCTCGTCGCTGCCCAGCAGTCCTGAATTGGCGGCGGGCCCGTCGGGCACAACCTCAATGACCAGCGCTCCCTGAGTCGAACGGGGCAAGTCCATCGCGTCAGCAACATCCGGCAAAATGCTGGTGCCGCTGATACCAAGCCAGGAGTACTGGTACTCGCCGCCCTCCATGAGTGACGGAATCACCTGTTTGGCTATGTTAATGGGAACGGCGAACCCGATCCCAGAATTTACGCCGGTGCGGCTGATTATCTGGGTATTTACTCCGATGACATGGCCGTTCCGGTCCAGGAGTGGCCCCCCGGAGTTGCCCGGGTTGATTGGCGCGTCGGTCTGCAGCACTTCAGGGATGGAGAAAGGACTGTGCCCGCTGCGAATGGTGCGCCCGATGCCGCTGATAATGCCCGTCGTAATGCTGAATTGCTGTCCAAAGGGGTTTCCCATTGCGACGGCCAACTGCCCCATATAAACCTGGTCACTGTCCCCCAGGGTAACGGGCGTGAGCAACCCATCCGGGTCAGACACCTTCAGCACCGCCAAGTCCGAGTCCGGGTCACTTCCGAGGAATTCCGCTTCCATCTCCACGCGATTAGGCAGAACAACAGTTACCCGGTCGGCCTGCGTGACCACGTGATGGTTGGTTACGATGTGCCCTTCGTCGTCCCATACAAAGCCCGTCCCGCCGGAACGTTCAAAGAAGTCGTCGGGGATGCCCGGTATATCGGGAATGTTGGGTCGGTCAGCCAGCGATCCCAGGCTCCTGGACACTCGGATCAGGACCACGGATGGCAGGGTGCTGTCGTAGATGTCCCGAAGGACCTCGTCTTGAGCCGCCACAATCTCCAAAGGAGTCAAGCCGGATAGCTGGGGTCGGCTTGTTCCGACCGTATCTTCCCCTGGGGAAGACACTTCGGGTACGTTGTCCCCTAGGATGTCGCTCAGAGGTCCCGCCCCAATAGTGTCTGCGGTTTCGGTGACGACTTCTGTCTCTGTTGTCGCTTCGGATTCCGCCACACCATTCTGCTGATTAATGGCCGTAACCGGCGTCGTTCCTTTCCCAGCGCCGGTGGTTGTGTTCCCATTGCTGGCTTTGGTTTGAGATGAGGGCGCCGGAGAGTTTTGTATCGCCACGGTTTGGGGTTCAGAGGAACTCAGGTTTGTCTCGGAGCCAGTCTCCCGTCCTGCCGAAAAATCGGGTTGCAAGAAGGAACATCCGGACAACAGAATCCCGAACATTGTCACCATCAATGAAGCAAGAAATATTCGATGGAAAGAGTTGTATTTTTTTGTTCTAAACGGGTGGCAAGTAAGTGATGTGAACATAATCTGCACAAACAGTCTCCTTTTTAGGATTGTTAGCGCTGTCCAGCCTGGACTCTGTATTTTTCAGTATAGCGCAGGAATGTGGAGAGATTGTTAAGCCCGGCCAAGGGCAATCTATATATCCGATCTGTAATAAGTACGCACCCGCGCAGATAGCGGATTCGTCAAACGCGGACATTACCACGAACCACTCCGCCCCGAAGGATTTCTACTGCTTACGAAGGCTGAATGCCACGCATCCCGGCAATGCTCTCTGTTGCTAAATTCGGAACAAATTGAATGGATTAAGTATGAATATTGTACTCATGTGATTGAAATTCCCAATAGGCTATGCTAACTTTATGCAGGATTTTGACGCGGCCTCCTCCTCTGCGAGAGACGCCTGGAGCGCCAACCTATGGCGGGAACTCCCCCTACCGATGGCAAGAGCACCGAGGTCCAATGGTTGCATTGGGGCCCCGATGCGTTTGCGCTTGCCCAGGAGACTGACAAACCGGTCCTCCTCTCCATATCGGCCGTCTGGTGCTATTGGTGCCACGTCATGGAGGACACAACCTACAGCGATTCGGACTTGGCAAGCTTCGTCAACAACAATTTTGTGCCGGTGATGGTTGACAATGACCACCGGCCCGACGTCAATGCTCGCTACAACGTGGGCGGCTGGCCTACCACGGCGTTCCTGACGCCCCACGGGGGCTATATAGCGGGAGCAACCTACCTGCCTGCCGACCAGCTTCTGGCGATGCTGATGGAGGTCAAGCGGGCTTACGAAGAGGACAAATCCGGCATCTACGACCAGACAGCCCAACTGCACCGCCAGAGACAGGATTACGTGGGTAGGGTGTCCGCTGGCATTGGCGAACTCGATCATCGCCTGGTGGATACCACAGCCCGCCGCATGGCCGGCGCCTACGATGCGCGTTATGGCGGATTTGGCGAAGAGCCCAAATTCCCTTCGGCACCGATTCTGCAGTTCATGCTGCACCTTTACCGCACTTCCGGCGAAGATTTCTACCAGGCGATTTTACAGAAGTCGCTGGACGGCATGATCGCGGGGGAACTATACGATGGAGTCGATGGAGGCTTCTTCCGTTATTGTGCTCAACAAGACTGGACCGAGGTCCAGCATGAAAAGATGCTGGAAGATAATATCAACCTTGCCAGGGTTTTCCTGGACGCGTCAATTCTGCTGGGCGACCCTGGGTACCAGCGGATAGCTTCCAGTACGTTGGACTACCTGGTTACCGTGCTGCTCGATCCTGAGACCGGGGGCTTTCGTGGCAGCCAGGGGGCCCATTCCGACTATTTCGGCTACCCCGAAGAGGACAGGAAGACAGGGGAAGCGCCCGCTCCGGACCCGTTTTCCTACACCGGCTTGACCTGCCAGGCAGCCTCCCTGCTTTTAGAAGCGACTTGGAAGTTGCCCAGGCCTGAACTGGCTGCCATTGCCCTCAAATCGCTGGAAACCTTGTCGGCTTTTGCGGCCGGTGGGCGACTGCCTCACGCCTTCGACCGACACGGGCGACCTTCGCCCCAGCTTTCCGAAGAAACTGATCTCCTGACCGACTGGGCCGCCTATTTGAATGCACTGCTGGACGCTCACAACTCTTGTCCGAACGACCCTGAATACCTGTCGCTGGCCCAGCAGGCCGTCGAACAATTGGATGGAAGGTTCTATGATCAGGCCAGGAGCGGGTATTTTGATACTGAGGCCGATACTGGTGCAGTGGGTTACCTGAGGCTGCGGGAAAAGCCGCTGTCGGAGAACGTGATCATGGCCGAGGCTCTATTGAAGCTTCACCACGCCACCGGCGGCACGAGTTATCGGTTGAGGGCAGAAAACGTGCTCCGCGCCTATGTCGAGGCTAACCGTGACTTCGGCGAACATGCTGCCAGCTATGCCGTTGCCGTGGATCACTTCCTGCATCCCCCGGTAGAAATCACCATCGAGGGTGAGGCCGGTCACGAAGCTACAGTTGCCCTCTCGCTGGCCGCCGGTCGGGTCAATCACCCTTATGTAATTATCAAACCAGTGACTGCCGAGCACGGGGCCGCAGCGTTGGCCCATGTGTGCGTGGACACCCTTTGCTTCCCGCCGGTCAGCCGACCCGAGGAGTTGGTAGCATCGGTGTCGGAAGCCTTGGCGGGTCCGCAAACTCCGGCTGAAAGCATTTTTGAAAGATTTGTGAGCTTCTAACCTGCGGGCGGGCAGCAGACCGCCTGAGGCCAGAAGCCTGTTTACGGAGGACTCCCCTGAAGAGCGCAAGTTGCAATGATCTAACGGAACACCATATTGACCGCCGGCATACTCTTGCCGGTTGGGTGGACAGTCGCCGCGACCACGGCGGCGTTATTTTTGTTGACCTGAGAGACAGGTCCGGAATCGTCCAGGTAGTGTTTAGCCCAGAACTGTCTCCCGATGCCTATAGCATTGCCGAGCAGCTTCGCTCGGAATGGGTCATTGAGGTTAAGGGCAAGGTTTCACGCCGTCCACCCGAGTCGGAAAATCCGACTCTCCCTACGGGGATGGTCGAGGTTATGGCCGATGAGGTGACTGTCCTGAATTCCTCCCTCACGCCGCCCTTCTATATAGAAGATGACGTAAAGGCGGACGAGGGGTTGCGCCTCCGATACCGCTACCTGGACTTGCGCCGGCCCCAGATGCAGCGGAATCTGATTCTGCGGCACCAGGTGGTCAAGTATATTCGTGACTTTCTGGACGAGCGTGGATTCCTTGAAATAGAAACTCCTATCCTGATAAAGAGTACCCCGGAAGGCGCCAGGGATTACCTGGTGCCCAGCCGGATGCAGAAGGGCAGCTTTTACGCCTTGCCCCAGTCTCCCCAGCAGTTGAAGCAACTGTTAATGGTGTCAGGAGTGGAAAAGTACTTTCAGATTGCGCGCTGCTTCCGGGACGAAGACCTGCGAGCTGACCGACAGCCCGAATTCACCCAACTTGACCTGGAAATGAGCTTTGTTGACCAGGAAGACGTGCTCCAACTGACCGAGGAACTCTACACTGGAATGGTCGAGAAGTTGACCCCGGAGAAGAAGCTCATAAAGCCCTTTCCTCGCTTGCCCCACAATGAGGTGATGGCCCGCTACGGCAGCGACAAACCCGACCTGCGTTTCGGCCTGGAAATGACGGATGTAACCGACTTGGCCGGAGAAACCGAATTCAGGGTATTCCTCAATACAGTCGAGCAGGGCGGCATAGTCAAAGGGTTCGTTGCTCCGGGTCAGGGCCACTACACCGGGTCCGACATGCGGCGGCTTGAAGAAACGGCCAAGGAATTTGGCGCAGCCGGCATGAGCCACGTACGCCTGCAGGGAGAAGGGGCCCCGTCGAACTTGTCTGAAGACAATTTCCTGCTTTCCCCAGGATTGAGAATGCCGGTGGAATGGTCCCGCCGCCTGGCCGAGCGAATGGGCGCTACTGGCGGAGACCTGATAGTGCTTATGGCCGGGCCTGCCAGCCGGGCAAACCTGTGGCTCAGTTCCATGCGTAACTATTTCGGCGAACGGCTGGGGCTGATTGACGAGGACATACTGTCCTTTGCTTTTGTTACCGGATTCCCCCTCTTCGACTGGGACGAGAACAATAACAGGTGGGACTCCTCTCACCACCCCTTCACTTCACCAGCCGATGGCAAGGAAGAACTGCTGGACGGGCAGGAACTGGGGGGTATTGAATCGAAGGCCTATGATCTGGTATGCAACGGTTCCGAACTGGCCAGCGGCAGCATCCGAATCCACCGCCGAGAACTCCAGGAGAAGATTTTTACCGTCCTGGGCTACAGCAAAGAGCAGGTGGAGGAGCGGTTCGGCCACATCCTTGAAGCTTTTGAATACGGCGCGCCTCCTCACGGAGGCATTGCTCCCGGCATAGACCGGCTGGTTGCTATCCTGGCCGGCGCGGATTCCATACGGGACGTAATTGCCTTCCCCAAGACCCAGAGTGGAACTGACCTGTTATTCGGGGCACCGGCGCCGGTGGATGACTCGCAATTGCGGGACTTGGCACTGCGGATTACCGAATAGCCACACCCCTGCAACCTTTCCAGAGATTTTTGGACACCTGTACTGCCTGCCCAAGACCAGCGCAATAAAGGAGGCGACCCTAATGGCAACCTCAAGTCCATTCAACTACAACAGCTTGTATTCCCAGTTATCCGTGCCCGTGGTGCGAGGCGAGAATCGGCACGCCAAGTATGACTTTGCCGTTGCCTATCCGGACCCTGAAACCCTGCCGCTGGAGGGTCTGGCCGATTCCTTGAAAGTGGCGCTGGAGCGGGAAGGAAAGGATCTGGCGCTTTACCCCGTAGCGGCTGGCTTGCCCGCCCTGCGGGAGTGGGTGGCCGAGAAGCTGGCCCGTGACCGCAACATGAACGTGGGTGTTGACGACATTGTTTTGACCTCAGGCTCCGGCGAGGCCATATCAATGCTGATTGCCGCCCTTACCGACCCCGGGGACGTGCTGCTGACCGAAGAGTACGTTTACCTGGGAACCCTCCGCGCTATGCGTCGCTTCGGCGCCGATGTTCGCAGCGTCAAGTGCGATGACGAAGGCTTGATCCCAGAAGATCTGGAAAGCACCCTGGCGACAGTGGCTGCCGAGGGCAAGAAGGTGAAGTTCCTCTACACGATTCCAGCGTTTCAAAACCCGCTGGGCTGGACGATGAGCCTGGAACGCAGGGTGAAGACTTTGGAAATAACCGGGAAGTATGGGGTCCCGGTCCTGGAGGACGACTGCTATGTCGATCTCAGGTTTGAGGGCGAAGACGTGACCTCCATGCATTCCATGGACGACTCCGGACGGGTGCTATATGTGGGTTCTTTTTCCAAGATAGTTGCCCCCGGAGTACGTCTTGGATACATGGTGGCTCCTCAGGAGGTCATTCAGCGGGCCATGAGTTTCAAGGGCGGCGGCGGGGTCAACCAGTTTGCGGCGTTGGCGGTCCAGGAATTCGCGAAGGACAGCATGTACTCCCACATCCAGGAGCAGAACGACTCACTGCGGGTTAAACGGGACGCCATGCTGGCCGCGCTGGGCGAGAACTTTGGCGACGCAGCCCAGTGGAGCAAACCCGAGGGCGGCCTCTACGTCTGGCTGGAAATGCCCGAGGACATAGACCTGGCAGCATTTCAGGAACAGTCATTCAATGAAGGTGTTGGTTACTATAACGGCACCATGTTCTCCCCGGAGGGTCGCGGAGCCAACTGTGCTCGCCTGTGCTTTGGCCATCCCACCGCTGAGACGGTGTCGGAAGGCGTAGCAGAGATGGCGCGAATCTTTGAGCGGCATGGGGTACTGAAGGGATAAACGCCGTCAGTTCAGGCGGGCTGGAATCAGTTCGAGCGCCGCTCAATCGATAGTCAATAAATGAAGAGGCCCGGGCCAGTTGGTCCGGGCCATTTGTTTGCGTGGAAGTACCGCTTGTCTTTGAGCCTAGTCGTCGGCGGTTGCCTTTTCCGGTACCTCAGCGCCGTGCCCGTTGCGGAAGGCAAACCGGTCCACCAGGTCACCAATGCTCTGGCGGAAACCGGAGTATTCGAGCTCTCCGTAGGGCAACATGGCCGCGCCGGACCAACCCTGGGAGCGCATCTCAATGGCCTTTTGCTGGGCCAGCAAGCGCACATGATCCCATGACTGATTGTCGAAGAAGTCGATGCTGGAATCAGAGAAGGTACCGTCTGCTGCAATGGAGAAGCCAACGCAGGATACCAGCGGTAAACAGTACATACCAGTCACAGCGGTGTTAATCGGCACCGGCATCAGCGGCATTACGTGGGACCCGCGGGCATCACCGCCAATGAAGTGGGCCTTTGCGTAGGGAGAAGTCAGCTCCTCCGGCGCCGGGAAGATTCCCTGGTTCCTCACAACTGCTACCGGATCGTCCTTGCCGGTGTAGCTGCCAGCGATATTGTGCAGCCGGGTGGCAGAAATGGCCGCGGCCATCTCGCCGGAGTAACGGGATACGATAGAGTCGATTCCAAACCGCTCGTTGTCGCGGAGCAGAACGGCCAACTTGTAGTAATCTTCCGGGGCGTTAAGGGAAATAATGCTGTCGCCGTCGGTGTTGTCCATGTCAATAACATTGAAAGTAAAGCCCTGGTCCAGGCGGGGCAACATCAGGCCGCCACAATACATTGGGTCAGCGAAACCAAGGAACATGGGCAGGTTGTACGCGCCCGGGCCGCACTTGTCCGCGGCAAGTACAAAGAAGGATTCTGCCGGGCGGACCGGGTTGGTCTTGATCGGATCGTGGTCGAACTCGACCTCGGCCACCGCCGGGCCGGCACCGCGAATATTACCCGAGGGAGCATCTGCGAGCAGGTCCTGCCCCGCGCCGTAAAGGCCGTACTGCGAGGCGATGTCGGTAGCCTTGAGGAAGGTAGACCACGCAAACTGGTGTACGTCGGTGTCGTTGGGGCCGCGGGTGTGGGTGGTGGTCATGCAGATATCGTCGCCGGTATGACCGACGTAACCGTCAATCAACAGGCCGCTGCTGATGGCGTCGGCCACTGCCTGTTCAGTGGCGTCAATCATCCTCTTAGAGGGTTTGGTATGTCCGCCAATCGAGCCAACGTCGGCCTTCAGTATAGAAATGGTGAGTTTCATAACTCTAATCTCCTTATGGCGTAGCCACCGAAAGTTTTTGTCCGGGTGTTACGGAGTGATGTCTCAGCTTTGAGGCGTACTCAACTTGAGGGTCTTTTAAAGGGGTTTTTGCAATCCGGCATTACAGCAACATTGTACCTTTTGGTCAAACAAAACTCTAGGGGCCAGGAGCTTTCCCAAGCTTGGATTGAACCGCCATTGGTCTATAGCCATTGTCTACCCTTTCTGTTCAGTGTATATTCTTAACAGAGGGTCAATAAATTTCATACCTCTTCACGTCAGGTTGACCCAAGCTCTGTTTTCGAAGTTAGTGGATATGGCAACACAGGACATTCTACTTCTGCTCTCGTTGGGCATCATAGTGCTTTGGACGACACGGCTGGCAAGATCGAAGGGCCTTAACCCGTGGTTTTGGGGAGTTGGGGCCGTCCTGCTAATCGCGCTGGCCTGGAATTTCAGCCGCCAGTTCCTCGGTCCCGTGGTAATGGCTCCCCTGATTTTCCTCCTCCTGTTCCGGAGTCCTCTGTTCCGCAAGAACAGGGGGGCAGACTCCATGCCCTGTCCCAGTTGCGGTGCGCCCGACACCGGCGGGCTGAACTTCTGCGTTCAATGTGGCTGGGACCTTTCCCGTGCTGCCGCTGATGGAACGGAAAGTGCAGCGGAAGCCGCCGTTACTTTGGAGCAAGCGTCCGAAGCCCAGCCGGCGGAGCAGGTTATGGAACCGGAGGTGGCGCCTGTTTCTCAAGTAAATGTGGCAACAGCGCCTGTCGAAGAAGTGCTCGAGGCTGCGGGAAGCGAGGGAATGCCGGGTCAACAACCAGTTTCGGAGCCAGTGCTTGCGCAAGAGGCGGTCAGCGATCCTCTGGACCAGGCAGTGGTTATTCCGCCTATGCCTGTTGAGCCTCCTCCAGCCCGGCCACTTCCTACGCCGGCCAACCTGACTGAAAGGGGCCTCACCCTGTTCAATCAGGGAAGGTTCCAGGAAGCCATAGACCAGTTTACCAAGGCAATAGCACTGGACCCCAAATATAGGGAAGCCTGGGAACATCGGGCGGAAGCTTACGGAAGGCTGGGTCGTGACGAGCGGCAGAAGGCCGATCAACGGCGGCTGGAAGCCTTCTAGAGATTTCTTCACCCTGGTTGCCCTTCCCCTGCTCCTCTTAAAGATAGTCCTGCGTCGGCCCTCTGCTCAATTGACTGCACTTTTGCTTTGCAATGGCTTCGGACTTTCGGGCTCAGCCTGATTCCAGTCAAATGCCATTACAGCCCCGCATAACTTCAAGATACGCCAAGCACCTTGTCACTTATCCTTGAGCCTGCGTAGGGGCCACGAGTGTGTGGCGAGGAAAGGGGTGGCCAGGAGGCTGAGACTATTGAATAGTCGCATTGTTCGGGTCCTGGACTGGGAGAACCCACAAGCTCTTTTCTAAGGTGTCTGGGGATAAGGAAGCCTGAGCGGCCTGATGGCGGGCTGAATTTAATTGTGGCGGCTGTTCGTATCTTCGAGGGTTTGGGACTTCCTAAACTGCCATGATGTGGTAGCCCGCGTCCACCGGAATTATTGAGCCTGTGATTCCGCTGGACATATCGCTGCAAAGGAAGAGAGCGGTCTTGGCAACTTCGTCCACCACGATGTTGCGCTTTAGCGGAGCCCTTTCCGCATGGATCTTTTTCATGTCCAGGAACCCATGAATCCCCCTGGCGGCAAGAGTGTCCAGTGGGCCGGCAGATATTGCGTTGACCCGAATGTTGTCCTGCCCAAATTCCGAAGCCAACTGCCGGACGCTGTGTTCGAGCGCGGCCTTGGCGGTCCCCATGACGTTGTAGCCTGGGTACACCTTTTGGGATGCTTCGAAGGTCATGGCAATTATGCTGCCACCGCCCTTCATCAAGGGGGCGGCGTGTTTGACGAGGGGAATCAGGGTATATGCGCTTACGTCCAGAGCAACTCTGAAACCCTCGCGGCCGGTATCGGCAAAACGGCCAGCGAGGTCGTCCCGGTTGGCGAATGCAATGCTGTGGACCAGGAAGGAAATGTCACCGAAGGCTTTCCCTGCCTCCTCGAACACGGTCCTGATCTGGTCGTCGTCAGAGGCATCACAGGGCAGGGCAATAGACCCGTCAACAGTTTCGGCCAGGCGAGCTACCCGGTCCTTTAGACGGTCATTCTGATAGGTCAGGGCGAGCCTAGCTCCGGCCTCGCCCAAAATGCGGGCAATGGCCCATGCGATGCTGCGGTCGTTGGCCACCCCGAAGACTATGCCCTTTTTTCCGCTCAGGTCTATGGGATACAAAGAACTTCCTCCGTTGGCAATGCTGTGATCACAGTTCCCTTTCCAGGAAAGTAGTGCGAACGCAAAAGATCTATATGAACTCGGGCGCCACCCTTTCCAGGAACGTGCTCATCTGCTGTTCCGGTTCGAATGAAGCGA